ATGGATGGGTGGACGGACAGATAAATTGGCGGGCAGATGGGTGGGTGGGTGGATGGATAAATGAAAAAAGTATTGGAGACAGAATGATGGGTGGATGGATGGATGGATGGGAAGATAGACGGATGGGAGAAGGGAGGTAGAGAGAGACGGATGGAAAATAGCTGGACGGGTGGGTGGATGGATGATGAGTGGGTGAATGGATGGACGGATAGATGGGTGGACGGGTGGGTGGACGGATGGATGAGTGGATGGAAAAAAGTAGAGGGGACAGAATGATGGTGGATAAATGAATGAATTCCATTCTTTTATTAGGCCAGCTTCCAAGTCTCTTCCTTTCTGGATCAGACTGAAGAGAACACAGAGGAGAACTGATAGTTCACAAGAGTTTGGTGATTCCTTAGGAAAATTTAAAGACCAAGAAAAATCCCTCCCCCTTCCCCTTCCCTGAGCGATTGGGCTGAATTAAAGACTTGGTGCCAGTCTGGTGCCTGTGACCTAGAGCAGGGCCACTCCAGGGCATCGCAGGGCCTCTCCCCACTGCTGCTGCAAGGGCTGGACTAGTCTTGACCATGACACCCCTAATCCACAGCCTCCCTCCCCTCTTCCCCTACAGTCACGGTGCTTCTAAAGGTGCAGACTTAAGCAATAACAGAGCCCCTGATAAGCCCGGCTGCTAGTTCCAGCTCCCACTCATAGCTGAGTGACCTTGGTCAAGTTACTACACCTCTCTGAGCCTCATTCTCCTCATCAGCAGAACAAGGATAATATTTGCACCAACATCATGGAGCTACAGTCAGAATCGAAAAAGATGAGACATGGTAAGGACCCAGGACGTAGTAAGTGCTCAACAAACAGCAGCTGAATGACCTTCCTGGCTCGCTATTCCAGCCCCTGGGCCCTTCAATTCGCTTTCAAAACCATCCCTTGAATCCACTTTCAGAACCATCTCACCTGCATATTGTCCCCGCTTGTCCCTGCACCATCTTTTGAGAACAAGAGCTGCAAAACAGCAGCTCACAACGTCAAGCAACTTACAAAGAGAAGAAACACCTGCTGGGTACCCACCCTGTGCCACGCCCTTGGCCAACTTCACCCAGTTCAGATCTGTGACTCATCCAACCCACGAGGCCAGCCGCACTACTCCCATTCTACAGAAGGGGAAACCGAGGCTCGGAGAGACTATGAAATCTGTCCACGATCCTGTGACTGGTGCGTAGCAAAACCTGGCTCCCCCCACCCCGCTAGACCCCCAGCTCCGTTGTGTCTTCGTCTCTGTGTTTTTCCATGCTGTATCTCCCATCCCAGATCAGGCCTGGCAGAAAGAAGGTGCCAGGGATACCAAGGATCACCTTTGAAGATAAGTGAACACTATGCACAGCACAGCCCTGGTGGGCATGCCACAAACAATTATTGAGAAAGGAACGAGTGTGAACTACCAGCCCCTGGCCTGGTGCCAGGTGCTGGGAATAGAATGAGCCCTGTGCACTAAGACCCCCCATTCCGCAGGCAAGGAAGCTGATCATTTTAACACAAGGTGACGAGTAAACTGATGTTGGTGATAAGTAAACTGTTGTGAGAGCCCAGAGGCTTAGCCCCAGCCCAGTCTGGGGTGCTGGAACCTACTATCTCCCAGACCCCATTCTGGATGGGGGATACAGCCTGAACAACACAACAAAAAGGCATGATCAGGCTGGGTTCAGTGGCTCACATCTGTAATCCCAGCACTTTAGGAGGCCGAGGCAGGAGGATTGCTTGAGCCCAGAAGTTCAAGACCAGCCTGAGCAACATAGTGAAACCTTGTCTCTACGAGAAATCAAAAAATTAACCGGGCATGGTGGCATGCTACTCAGGAGGCTGAGGCAGGAGGACTGTCTGAGCCCAGAAGTTGGAGGCTGCAATGAGCTGTGATCACGCCACTGCCCTCTGGCCTGGTGATAGTGAGACCCGGACACACACACACACACAAGACATGACCAACGCTAGGTTATCTGGGGTCCTGGCTCTGCTACTCATTAGCCACGTGTTTTGGGCAAACGTTGCAGCCTCCCTGAGTCTCCATGTCCCCTTCTGTGATGAGAATAGCAACGCCGACCTCACAGAGTCAAGTCAGGTGGTAAAGCAGCTAGGCAGAGTAGGGGCAGTCAGGACAACCTTCCTGGGGAAATCGACATCTTTGCAGGAAGGGACGGCCCGGCAAGACTGGAGAGGTAGGGAGAAGGATTTCAAGCAGAGAACATGGCACTTCTTGTCGTTCTATTCCCAGTACCTGGCGTCAGGCCAGGGGCTAGTGGTATGCCCATTCCTTTCTCAGTGAATCCGATGGAGTGCTCACCAGGGCAGCTGTGTTGCAGTGTTCACTTTCTGTGCTGGAGCTGGTCCTTGGTGGCCCTGGCACCTACTCTCTGCCCCGTGACTCCCCCTCGGTCCAGCCACCATACTCTCTTGCCTGGTCTTCCTGGTGCCCTCCGATCCCCTTCAGTCTATTGACCCCAACTTCAGTCTGTTGACCCCACAGCAGTCAGAGTGAACCTTTAAAATACAGGCAGAGAGCTGGGCTCGGTGGCTCAGCCTGTAATCCTGCGCCTTTGGGAGGCTGAAGTGAGTGGATTGCCTGAGCCCG